TAGGGATTATATTGTATTGGGACTGTCCTAAGTATAAGGATTATATTGTATTGGGACTGTCCTAAGTATAGGGATTATATTGTATTGGGACTGTCCTAAGTATAGGGATAATATTGTATTGGGACTGTCCTAAGTATAAGGATTATATTGTATTGGGACTGTCCTAAGTATAAGGATTATATTGTATTGGGACTGTCGTAAGTATAGGGATAATATTGTATTTGGAGTGTCCTAAGTATAAGGATTATATTGTATTGGGACATGACCTAAGTATAGGGATTATATTGTATTGGGACTGTCCTAAGTATAAGGATTATATTGTATTGGGACTGTCCTAAGTATAAGGATTATATTGTATTGGGACTGTCCTAAGTATAAGGATTATATTGTATTGGGACTGTCCTAAGTATAGGGATAATATTGTATTGGGACTGTCCTAAGTATAGAGATTATATTATATTGGGACTGTCCTAAGTATAGGGGTAATATTGTATTGGGACACGACATAAGTATGACCAAAAAATGTATTATGAGGAGACCTTACTTGTGATGAAGTTTTAAGTTTTGTTGATATAATATCGTGACCTGTGTATTGTGAAATTACCTCAGTATTGCAATACATGTCATTTTGTGACGAGGCCTGACTAGGGTGATATGCCAAATATTGTTATAGTGTTTCAGTGCAGTGATAATAACATATCGTTACTATGTATCATCCCAACTCAGACAATACCAGATCCATCATGACCGCAACAGGATTCCTAAAGCACCAGGGGCGGTGGGGTAGCCTACTGGTTTAAAAGCGTTCGCTCATCAGGCCGAAGGCCTGGGTTTGATTCCCTCATGGGTACAACTTGTGAAGCCCATTTCTGGTGTCCCCAGCCGTGATATTGCTGGAATATTGCTAAAAATGGCGTAAAACCAAACTCAGTCAGTCAGTCAGCCTAAAGCACCAAACCCTGCACAGCACTATTTGTAGCTCTTGACAAAATGGCCACCATCCACATGCCAATAGTTCATTGAGGGTGTGGCCACGGCTGTCAAACAGAACCGTGTGCACTATCCATGTCTAACAGATGGGCTGTTAACTTCAAATATCTCTAGTGCCATGTTTAGATTAGTCGAGTGGGTGTAGGAGGGTCCTACAGCCTGTGTTTCGGCCTTGAAACAAGGCTCTCTACTAGTCTCAAGGACATGCTGTGGTACTTGGCTGAATCAAGACATGCTATTGACTTCTAGCTGATATTCAAGGTTCAAGACCCAGTCAAGGACTTTCAGCAAATGTTTCTGTGCCCGGTAATATTCACTCAAACTGGTCCAGTCAAAGGTCATGTTATTTCTTTTCTAGATCTCTGATCTGTTTGTTTGTTTTTCGTTCAAGGGGTGGTAGGGTAGCCTAGTGGTTGAAGTGTTTACTTGTCATGAGAAGATCCAGGTTCGATTCTCCAACAATGTGTGAAGCCCTTATTGGTGTTCCCAGTCAACATTAACCAAGGAATAGTTTCCTGAGGCTGTGTGGCTTGTCCATGTTAAACTGTGACATGGTATCTTAGTGAGCTGGCAGTATAAAAACAGTAATAGTCCAGTCTGCTTCAAGCAGCTACATATATACGTGGATAAACATGCATGGAGTGACTGTACCAGTGCACTAATCTTGAACACAGTCTTAAACCCCATTTCACCTCACCTCACCTCACTTCACCTCACCTTATTTCACTTCACCTTACCAGCTTTCTCCTCACATCACATCACATCATTTTACCTCACCTCACCTCTTTTACCTTAAAACCTGTGAAGATCCGGGTTAGAATTGACCTTCAGTAACCTTTGCTTGTCGTAAGAGGAGACTAACGGGATCAAGTGGTCAGGCTCGCTGACTTGGTTGGCACATGTCATCGGTTTCCAGTTGTGTAGATCGATGCTTATGCTGTTGATCACTGGATTGTCTGGTCCAGACTATTTACTTATAGACCACTGCCATATAGCTGGAATATTGCTGAGTGCGGTGTAAAACTTAACTCACTCACTCTTTTACCTTAGCCTGTTTCACCTCACCTCATCCCATTTGAATACTCTTTTTCACCCTGCCATGTCGGGGTCAGACTAATTTCCAGATCACCACACCTCTCCCTCCTCAAACCAGGTGGTCCAGCTGAACACTTCCTGCTGGCTCTCAATAACTTAGATTAAAAATGTGCTCAGATTTGTGAGAAATGTGAAGGAGGTGCCCCATTGACAGGCCTTTAACCAGGGAGTTTGGCTGATTGGGGTGGCAGTCATCCCCCAAACACTTTACACCGTCCCGACATCCCCCTCAACGCGTGTTGTATCATCATGTCACCTCTCCCCACCTCCCTCATCAAAGAGTTCCGCACTGTTACCTACTTGTCAGGGCTGCAGGATGCCTCTCGCTCAAACAGGTCACCCTCCTTGCACCTCAATGAATGGGAATTGTATTTTGATCATATTGACAATGGTAACTGATAAGACTTATCTGTGGCCTAATATGTCTAGTGTAAATACTGTTGTCAGTTTGAGAGCACTACAAATTATTGGTGACAGTGGTCTTGTTCCTAATTGAACTTGGGTAATTTCACCTGTAAGCACCCTTGAAACTCAGTTTTGCAAGTGAAGGAATGTGAGGAAAAAGGAGGTTAATTTGTCACGTTGAAGTTCAGAAGAAAGAATTTTTAGCTTCCGTCCCTAGCTGATCTTAAGGCATCCATTTTTAGTCAGTGTTTCTGACAACTGAATATCTTTTATTTTGTACAGAACGATTTTAAATCTCTGAATATATATAATTTTTATTTTAACAAATCAACGCATTTAAATTGAATAGGAGCCCCGGGGAGACCAGAGATTCAGAACCTGGAGAAATCTAGACTTGCTTCATGTAGAGCTTTAGCACTGCAGAGAAGGCTGGGATGTAGGGAAAGTAATGTGGTTCAGGGACTGTGAGACACACTAGTGTTCTCACTGACAAACTCTTAACCCACCTGCTTTTTAAAGTACCCACATTAAGAACAAACTTAATTTTACACCTGAAGAATTCAGAATTATGTTTCTCAGTTTTATCTCAAGTACAATACACCATGACAGTTTTTTTCCATCACAATGAACAAGTCAAAAATGTACAATTTAAAGCTGCTTGTATTGAAGACTTTTGTCCATCAATATGTGTACCCTCAAAACAAATCTGGAGGTGAGGTACTGGTGATCTCTTAACATGAGGGCTCCCAAATGTAACCATCGTTCATGAAATGAAATTTACCATGTATTTTACAATGTCTGTGTTCAGTGTAAAAATGATATTGTATGAAGATGATGAATGTTATCATCAATGGTCCCTGTTGGGATTCTGGGTTGGATCTGGTCCCTGTTGGGATTCTGGTTGGATCTGGTCCCTGTTGGGATTCTGGGTTGGATCTGGTCCCTGTTGGGATTCTGGGTTGGATCTGGTCCCTGTTGGGATTCTGGGTTGGATCTGGTCCCTGTTGGGATTCTGGGTTGGATCTGGTCCCTGTTGGGATTCTGGGTTGGATCTGGTCCCTGTTGGGATTTTGGGTTGGATCTGGTCCCTGTTGGGATTCTGGGTTGGATCTGGTCCCTGTTGATTATGTGGTCAGGTTCATAGACTTGATAGGGCTCGTCACGCTGAGAACCCGGGTTCGATTCCCCACATGGGCAAAATGTGTGAAGCCCATTTCTGGTGTCTCCTGCCGTGATATTGCTGGAATATTGCTAAAAGTGGCGTAAAACTAAACTCACTCACTCACTCATAGACTTGATTGATGTTGTGTCAACATACCCCAAAAGGATGGACCATCGCTCATGATATCAATCACTGGATTATCTGGCTTAGACTCAGTTATTTACAAGCTGGAATATAAAAAGTGGCTAATTGGCTAAACATTTCTTTTATATCAAGAAGAGTTAATCATTTGTAGGGACAGGCATGAAAACAATTTGTGGTGTATTTTATTGATAAATGACTCCCTCCCTGATTCATCTACTCACCCACTCACTCATGATATCTATCACTGGATTGTTAGGCTCTGACTGAGTGACCCACTCACAGAATCTCAGGTGTACTTTCCCAAGAAGACAGCTGTGCTGATTTCACATTGCACAACACTATCTCCGAACAGATGTCAAGCACCATTTTCATTAACATTTGTCATTGCATGAGGTAGAGCCCTGGAAGACATGTATGGTTCACCTTAGTGCTCTGATAAGGTAGATTGCCATGATAAACCACCAGCTGAGGTTTCCTCACCAAGGAGTGCTTCCAGTTCACTGGTCTAAATTTGACAAGATTGCTCGTTTTATCTGATTATGTCACACTGAATGTTGATAATGGCTGTTTATGGGCATGTTTGTAGGATATGATCAAAAAGGAGATCATGAAAAGTAAATGCTTCTCTAAAATGTTGAGCAGTGTAAGCACCTCATGGAAAGTCATACTTACCCAGATCATGTGAGATGGCTTGACAAATAGAAACATCAGCTTCAGTTGCCTGTGGACACCATGAAAATAAAGACCTTTAGTCAGTTTTTGTAAACTTGTTTTGACCAGTACTATCTTTGCAAAAGTATAAACATCGCAATCATGACCGTCCAACTGATTGCAGTGTATTGTTTACTTCTGTGATGCGATGGGGTGGTAGGGTAGTCTTGTGGCTTCGTGTCCGCTTGGGTTCGATTCCCCAGTGGATTGTGAAAGTGGATTGTAGATGCTGTATAAAGTGCCACTTGTAAGAGTGACAGCTCCTAGGTATCTGTGCCCACTCATTCAGTGTATGTCGTAAAGGCTTACTAATGAAACCGGGAATGTTAAAATGTGTTGCTTAGCTGATAGTGTGATGATGTTTGTTGTTTAAAGCCACTCTCCAGTCATATGACAGCAGACAAAATCGCGTTTTATTTGTTTCATGTCACTGCTGACAATATTTCATTTTCAGAACCTGAGTATGACCTTGATTTTTGTTTCACATTTACAGGGACTCACTGTGTGTGATAGACTGGAAGACGTCCCAAAAGCCGAAGCCCCTTCTCTCTAACACCTTCGACAACCCCCTACAACTAGCTGCCTATTTTGGGGCCATCAATGCGAGGGCCGATGTCAGTAACAAGGTGAGTTGTTGCGTCATTCGGACACCGTAGATAACCCTCTACAACGAGCCACCTACCTCCCCTGCAGGTATTATGAGTTAGATCTGTCCACAGCAGCCTGGGCTGGTCGTATGAGGCAACCAACGGACTGGGAGTCAGGCTAGGTGACGTGGTCGATGATGTGTGGTCATATCCCAATGTTGTGGATAGTTGCTCACAATCATTGGATCATTTCTTCTTTGTTTCCATTGGAAGAGCTGTAGCCTCTTGAACAATTCCTGATAGTGTTTTGTGAAGATCTTCTTCTTTGTTTCCATTGGAAGAGCTGTAGCCTCTTGAACAATTCCTGATAGTGTTTTGTGAAGATCTTCTTTGTTTCCATTGGAAGAGCTGTAACCTCTTGAACAATTCCTGATAGTGTTTTGTGAAGATCTTCTTCTTTGTTTCCATTGGAAGAGCTGTAACCTCTTCAACAATTCCTGATAGTGTTTCATGGAGATCTTCTTCCTGTGAGTGTCATTTAAGAGAGAGGGGTGGTGGGGTAGTCTAATGGTTAAAGCATCTGCTTGTCATGCCAACGACCAGGTTAAATACCTCTGCATGATATTGCTGGAATATTGCTAAAAGTGGTGTCAAACCAATGCTCACTCATATAAAAGAGTGACACAACTGTTTCTTTGAAGTATGATGACAATTTTTATGGATATACAACTTCTTTTATTCTGTCACAATTTGTCACAATTTGTCTAAAATGCCCATCTTTTTCAAATTTCCCATCATCACTTTGACATTAGTTGTAGTTGATAGCGTCTTCAACTCCACTTCAGTGACACAGTCACCTTTGTCCCATGACGATACAGCAACTGAAATTCATATGCACTTACCTCAGGCTTACAAATGTAATAAAATGTCATTTTTCCAATATAGTTCAGAGAAAAGTTAGGTCAACAGCAAGTACCAATTTACCCTTGCTGGTTTCACCTCAGCTTCTGCATGTGCCCAGCATGTTGATGTGTTGTCACGGTGATACAAAGGCCCTCCATGCTTCCATAAAGCCTAACCTTTACAAGGAATGATTACGTGATTTGTTTCAATTATGATTTATATGTCGACTGGGCTTTTCCCCCCCAATATTTCAAGTTTGTCACTTAGTTGTGCGTTAAAGTGGCGCCTAAATATTGGAATGGTTTCTGTATTGTTTCTGTAGCGCCCACTTTGGTCTCAGAGAAGGAAGTTCATTGGTATTATAAAAGATTAGTTTTGTGTAGTTATATTGGTCAGGGAAGTGGAAAATATCACACATACCCAAACACTCCCATTGTAACAAAAACACTTGTACTTGAGCAAAATTTTATTCACTAAGGATATGAGTTGTTTCAAAAGATTTTTTTCCCCGACAACGTGTTTTGCTTGGAGTATTAAAATGGATCAAATTCATCTTTTATTGAACATAAAAACTGTTCAATATTTCTTCACCAAACTTGACACATAGTGTTTTGCATTTCCATGGCAACAAGTTTGACTTAGACTGAAATTGGTGGTAGTGCTCCTTTCTGGAGCATAACTTAAAACCCTTTCAATACTCTCCTTCCACTTTGTGGGTATTCAAGAACCAACAAGTTGACATATTCATGAAGAGTATTTTACCATTGCGGCGGATATTGATGACTTTGTCTTCTTGTTAAAGTTACTCATTATTTAAATTCTTTCCTTCTGTTCCAACCCGTGAAGGTCTGGGTTAGAATATTAATCTTCAGTAACCCATGCTTGTCATAAGAGGCGACTAACGGGATCGGGTGGTCAGGCTCGCTGACTTGGTTGACACATGTCATCGGTTCCCAATTGCGCAGATCGATGCTCATGCTGTTGACCACTCACTCACTCACTCACTCACTCACTCACTCACTCACTCACTCACTCACTCACTCACTCACTCACTCACTCACTCACTCACTCACTCACTCACTCACTCACTCACTCCTGTTCCAAGATGGTTTCTTTTAAGGAACTTACAACAAAGGTAATGGTTGCTGTTATGTTATTATGTCAAGGACATATTACTTCTATATGTCCACGAGCCAGTCAGTATGGTTTAATACTGCTTTTAGCAATATTAGAGGAATAGCAGTCTTGAACACCAGAAATGGGTGTTGCACATTGTGCCCATGAGGGGAACCAAACTCGGGTCTTCGGCGTGATGAAGAGTGCTTCATCCACTTGGCTACCTCGCTGCCCCTTACATCCATGGGAAGATGACATGAATAGATATAGACCTATTACATATCAACCACAGCAGAGATGTGAATATAGGCTGTGAAGGAGGGTGAATTTGGTTTTACATGGCTTGTAGCACTATTCCAGCAATATCACAGTGGGGGACACAAGAAATGGGTTTCACACATTGTACCCATGTGGGGAATGGAACCCTGGTCTTCAGTGTGACAAGTGGATGCTTTAACCATTAGGCTACCCCCGCGTGATAGAGTAATTAAACAAGGCAGTAAAACACCCCCTAGGCTGTGAAGGATGTTAGAATTGGTTCCATGTACGATATTGCTGGTATGAAGTGACAGGTGGTCCGACTCTGTGATGTGGCTAAATGTATGTCATCGTACCTGGATGACATGATCTGTTGCTCATTTTTTATGTGGCTTGCCATACCCAGGCATGACTATTTATGAGCTGCAGCTAAATAGCTGGAATGGTGAACTGCACCAAAAGTACAAAAATATGTAAGATTGTGTTACTTTTAGATGTTTTCAAACATTCATTGGGGCGGTGGGGTAGCCTAGTGGTTAGAGCGTTTGCTCGTCACGGCGAAGACCCAAGGTTCGATTCCCCACATGGGTACAATGTGTGAAGCCCATTTCCGGTGTCCCCCACAGCGATATTGCTGGAATATTGCTAAAAGCGGCGCAAAACCATAATCACTCACTAAACATTCATTGAGAAAACCTGGGTTTGATACTTCTCTGTTCAGTGTCTGAAAGCGTTTTTTTCCATTCCCTACTGTGAAACAAGATTCCTGATAATCACCGATGTCAGAACCCAGACGAGACAGTTTTCAGACAGTCTGCCCATTGTCATTATCTCTCAATATCCCAATATTCCTCATCCAAACATTGTCTCCTAATAAATGTATTTTTATCATGATCAGTTGAATGTTTATAATCATGAATTGGCATAATTCCCTGTGATGAATTCAGAGAAGGACATAAATGAAAAGCTTTTGAGGTAAGGATGGGTATGCAGACAATATTTTCTGATGACCCGATCACCTTAATTGATCTTCCCGACCCTTACAATATTTGCATTTGTTTTCAATGCAAGACAGTTTAGCTTCAACCCCATGTTGAGTCATGAGATAGGAAGATGCAGTTGGATCTATGAATTAATTTCCTTGTCTTGGGGATAATTATGTTTGAGTTGGCTAATTGCCTCCATTGTATGGTTTCGGAGCCAGCATTAGAGACAGTCTGAAGATCGGTCTGAGCCCCCTCAGTTTTGGATACATCCTTAATCAGCCCCCACCTTTCATGCAGCTTCTGCGACTTGGCTTGCCGTGATTTGTCTGACAATCGGACTGATTAATTTGGCTGATTAATACGCTTGAGATATAGATGGAAGCTTTGGGAGAAGAGGAGGCAGCTGCTTTGTGCCCCCGGAGGAGCTTTCATTTCCTCCATGTCTGGCTGTGACTCAACACAAAGACTTGGGAGAAACAAAAAAATAGTCTTGATGGACATGTTTGAATTATATTGGAAAGTTTGCTTGTGATAGAGAAAGTTTGTGGTGTATGTGACAGGACACTGGACTTTCGATTTGAATTCTACTCTGTTGATTACCTCAGAGTCTCTTCTACAGAATTCAGAACGTATATTTTTGATAAAGCATTTTCCCCTTTCCATCCCCTATCCCCTTCTGAACTCTAGCAGTCTACACTAACACCATTCACAGCTTCTGGCTAAGAGTTTCCTTAATAATTCACCATGAAGATCTGGGTTAGAATTGATCTTCAGTAACCCATGCTTGTCGTAAGGGATCGGGTGGTCATGCTCCCTGACTTGGTTGGCACATGTCATCATATCCCAATTGCGTAGATCGATGCTGATGCTGTTGATCACTAGCTTTTCTCGTGCAGACTAAATTATTTACAGACAGCTACCATATAGCTGGAATATTGCTGAGTGTGGCGTAAGACTAAACTTACACACTCACTCACCTTATCAAGTTATTGCTATTTCACCATATAGATAACTTTATGCCATGGGCTACATGCTATTGTAATAACCTCACCAAGCATTGAATCACCAGAGTGTTATAGGAGAGAGCAGCCGTCTAGTTTTACAGGAGATAGTGTCATCTCTACATTTTATTGGTTTGTGTCATTTTCTGCTTTCCTGATTGGTAACTGGTAAATTGGATAATAAACCTTGATTGGTTACCCTCACTTTCATAAAACACCAGAATGTCTAGGGAAAGTTAACCATGAACAGGGAAATGACCTTATATTGGATGTATGACAGCATTGTTGTAATCTTTTATTGCCATGTCTGAGTGAGCAGACAGGAAATGGTTATGGTTAAAGCCTTGTTACCACTCTGACAGTGTAGTTCATTACAAGTATAAAGTAACTTAATGATGCTGCTACACGTGTAGCCAGTGGAAGCAAGGGTAGACTTGACAGAAACCAGTCTCCTTGGTGACCAATGTTGGCACGAGTCAAGGCTTGAGAATGACCCTGCTACAAGAGTGTACCTGATGACCAGGACTTGTGTACTGTGGCCTTACTACAATTGTGTTCTTGTTAACAAATATCAACACTAGTTCGTTCAGGCTTGAATATGGCCCTACAAAAACAACACTCGTTCAGGCTTGAATATGGCCCTACAAAAACAAGACTAGTTCAGGCTTGAATATGGCCTTACAAAAACAAAACTAGTTCAGGCTTGAATATGGCCCTACACTAGTTCAGGCTTGAATATGGCCCTACAAAAACAACACTAGTTCAGGCTTGAATA